GATCATTACAGTGACAATATCACCTCAACACTACCCAGGCAAGTAAGTGTTATTTCTTGGATGAGCTTTTTGGCTAGTGTGCAGGACAGCAATAATACAGCTACTTGGCTCCTGGCTCAGGTATGTCTCAGTATGGTGCTGCCTTGTGCTATACAAACATACCCTGTGTTATCTTGTAGCCTGCGCTATAGTTGTATATACAGGTTTCCCTAGCTTTATGCTGTCTATGCTGTACATGTGTTCCTGGAAAATGGCGTATAACTCGAATTTGCATAAAGGGAACCCACTTTAAAATGTAACAAATAGGAATACGTTTCAAGACATCAACTGTACTGACCCATTTCTGCCACTTTTACAAGACAATTTTGGTACTCACCAACAGCAGACAATACACACGAGCACAGGGCACTATCATAGTGGGGATGGCAACTACAGAAACCAATGTCACAGACAATGAGCAAGGAGCAAAGATCTACACAGGAGGCTATATTTTGGTGCGTGTCACTCCTACAGTGCTCCACACAAAGCAGCTGACTGTGCGGCTTCCATCACACCGATCGCATAAGAGTGAATTTACCTTGCATATAGTGAATTTTTGGTATAAAAAGAGCCATTGCATAAGAGTGAATTCGCACATACAGAACCCACATAAAGCAAGGGAAACCTGTACTGTGCATCTCTCTTATGTACCTGGGTCTAATTATGTACCATGGACAGAGGATGTGGTGCAAAAGGTCTAGCTGTTAGGAGAGGTTGTGGGATTGTTGCTTGCAGGCTCTGAGCTTGAGATCTCCAGTACCTGGGTGTGTACTTGTTAGCATGTGAGGGAGGTGGAGTTCAGATCTCATTTCACGATTGCAACTCTGCCAACCTGTTTTGCTTAATCCTCAATATACGGCTGTGCTTAACATTAGATTTGGAGCGGGTACAGATAATTCCCAAAGTCTGTTTTTGTTCCAGGGGGCCATAGAAGAAGTTGTGCGAGTGCATACACCTTAACTCCTCATTTCTTGGTTGTCAGAGGTTCAAGTATCACGTAACTTGAATAGGGCATAGGAAACTACAGGACAACCTTAGCTTTATATTAATGAAGTTTAGCTGTGAATAAGCTTTTGTTAGCACAGTTATGAAAGCAAAGCTGTAATGCTTAAGTCGGCAAATATTTCTTCAGCCTGTAGTCTAATAGTATGTGTTGACCAGCTGCTTCAGCCTGAAAAAGCAGGAGAGGACAGATGGATTTAAAAAAACTTGCCCACTGTCTTTATACATTGAAGTCTGTGCGCTGTGGGAAAGGGTTATGCATCTATTGCCACTTTCATTGCTCCCCTCCTCTGCCACATGCATCTTAAATGCATTTAGACAGGACTCATCAAATATGTGAAGTTTAACATATTGCGAACAAAACGGTCCATCCAAACCTCTCAGGGAGGAAGTGACTCTGAGATGAGCAGTCTCGGGTGTGTAAGAAAGAAAAACCATGCTTTAGCATTGAAGTGTTAGCTTCATTTGGTGGGGTTGGTTGGAAGCCCTTTCCTTCCTCTTCTTTCCTGGGAATACATGAGCTTGTTGTAGTTCTGAGAAAAGATGGAATGAAACTACAACAGCAAAGCAGGCATTAAAATGTAATTTCTCAAGAGATTAAAATAATAGAATCTGCACAGAAATGTATGGGGACTATATAAACAACCCTCTTTCACTAAACCTGGAGACCCTGAGATGAGACCTGTTACACTGATACGGTTAGTATAGAAGCCTAATAATGTAGTGCACTTTGTTTACTTTCTAAAGATTTTGAGGTAGACTTCTTTGAGGATAAACCAACTGTTTGTGGGTTGGTTGGTTGTTCGTTGGTGGATTTAGGACCCAGAGGCCTTGTTCCACAGGCAGGGAGGGAGACCTGCCCTCAGATTGACCACGACTTTTCCATTCAATAATAGGCAGATTTATTGATACACAGTGATAACAGAAAAGAAACAATACAAACAATCAAGCAGTTCTCTATATCTACCAAATTCTAGGGTGTGTCATCAGAGTCAAAGTAAATCTGGCCAGGACACAGTCTCTACTCTGAGGCTCTCTCTTAGGTGTCAGCAGTCTGGAGGTGGGATGCCAAGGCCCACACCCCCTCCTCAAGTGGGATGGATGAGATGGCCTGGTCATGTGCCCTCTGTCCATGGTTGCCTCGGTGACCCTTCCTGGGGGATGGAGATGGGGACCCCTCTTGAAGAGAAGGATGGAGAGGGACAAGAAGGAGGGACCTGGGCAGGACAGGGAGGGACCCTTTGTTACTCTCAAGTCTCTGCTTTTGTATTCTCCTTCCCTCCCGATGACTCTTCATCCGTGGCTATCTCTGGTTGGTTCCTCTGTGTGGTCACACTGTCCATGTACTGTCATCAAGACATTCCAAGGCCATCACATGCGCATATACTAATTTGGTCTTTCCAGGCCTTCTCCTAATTTGGTCTGTTCCCCCAAAACCAAGACTTGAGGCCCTCCTGCTCCGGCGCCTTGCAGCTGGTTCCACTTGTATCTTGTGTTATGGATAGTATAATGCATACTTCCTTGGTTCCCACACGGTTTTTCCAAACTGTGTTCTTGTTGGCTTTATTGTGTTAGAGCAGGGGTGGGCAGTTATTTTGGGCAGAGGGCCACTTACTGAGTTTTGGTAAGCCATTGAGGGATGCATGACAGGCAGCCAGGGACAGATAAATATTAATTTTCTAAATTTTTTTAGGGGCCCCGTGGGCTGGATAGAATGGCCTGGTGGGCCGCATCAGGCCCCCTGGGCCACGTTTTGCCCACCCCTGTGTTAGACAGTCTGCCTGCTTCCAAGGCTGTGATCTCACATGACTGTGAGGACTCAAGCTATTTAGAAATCAGTTAACCCCTGTTGCCCATCTAAACCCTTATAATGTATACATCTATACCTATAGTAAGCCAATTCCCAAAAAGCAATCTTTTAAATACCATTTCTAAGCCAACAGTTGGTTGGTTTGTTTGTTTTGGCAAAACAAGAAACAAGCCTGAGGAGAGTGGCTGTAATCTTTGATTTTTGTTTATAAGTTCTTGATTTGTTTTTTGTGTGGTGGTTTTGTCCTGCAAAAGTTCATGTCTAGTGCTTTTACTAAAAAGCACTTCGTACAAAAGGTAACTGAAATATTTTTATAATGAGATGATACCTTGGGGCTTCTATACATGTGCAGGGAGGCTGCTCTGATGTGCTGTAATTATAGCACATCGGACCAGACTGGTGTCGCGTGTATTGGCATCCCCATGCTAAAAAATGGTGTTGGGGTGCTTTAAACTAAAGCTCATCGAATGAGCTGTAGATTAAAGCACCTTCGATGAGCTTTAGTTTAAAGTGCCCCACAACCATTTTTCAGTGCGGGGAGGCTGCATGTGATGCTTCAGGCACTTTTAATTAACGCAGCTCTCAGAGCTGTGCTAATTAGAGTGTTGTTGCTCCCTTGCCCCCAGCCTCCTGAAGCACATGTATAAGTGCCCTTGGTTCTAAGCTTTCTGATTAGAGTTTCAGAATATTTCCACCACAAACTCTATCTACAGATCCCATTTAAAATGAGAAAAAAAGAACTCAAAACTATTGATTCATAGTAGCAGAATCTCAGGAATTAACTGGGTGCGTCTGTCACATGGCGAAAAGATAAATTTATGTCTCCACTAAAGATTTATGAATTAAAATGTGTATGATTTAGTACGTTCTAGAATGTGAGTGATTTCAAGACTTTATATATGTACTTGTATATATACTTGATATATATTATTATATTATACTTTTATATATTTATATAAAATGTATATATATTTAATATATGTGCAAATAATGTATATTTATATATTTCAAGACTATAGGTATATGTTACTTATATATTTTCTAACTGAATATTAACATCACCATCCAGTTTTGTCTGCAGGCATGTTAGGCCTGAATATATAGCTGTCAGACATGCATATATGCCCATGGATAGATATCAGATTTTGAAAGGGGGGTGCACATGGTGTGGTATGACATCACATAATGTAGTGCACACTTTTTCTCCAATTAAAAAGAAACTAGAAGCGTTACTAATATGTTGGGGGCATAGGGCTATATAATTTAGTTTAAAAACCAAGCAAAACCAAATATAGCTTGAGTGGTGGTCAGAATAGGTGTCTTGATTGCCAGCTCCAGCGTGGACAGGCACCTGGTGCCACGGGAGTATAACTGTTAGTCCCCAGACTAGTCATAAACAAAACTGCTCCCTGCACCCCAACATATGAGTCTCCCAGACACTGCACCATAGCCCCAAACTGCCCCTCATTGTTCTTTATTCATTGCCCTTGTCCCTTCAAATCCCTCCCACTGTCTCCTGTTATTCCACATATCCCACCACATTGTTTCCTAAGCCCCATTAGATATCTTCATCCCTGCCTCAAGCCCTATTAATTTCTACATTGCCCCCATGAACCCATTGGACCCTGCACACAGACATCAGCTCCCTTGACTCTTCAGCATCCCTCCTCATAATGCATTGAGTCCTCTCCTGCCTCCCTAAATTTCACTGCAGCCCTTCACATCCCTGTGCCCTCTCACCCACAGTCTCTGTAGATCACAGCCCTGCATACCCTATTTCACCCCCACTGCCTCTGCTATGTGGACCAAGAATAAAAAAGGGGGAGTGACGACTATATCACCAACTTCTTTGTTTCCTCCACCATATACTTCTGCATATCTTATTTCGATTATTTACATAAATTCTTAATACTTATTATGCCTTTAAGAACTTCTGTTGTTGCTTTTTAGCAATTACACTTGCCTCCCTTAAGTAATTCTTTGCTTTGTTCAGAAGGTTTGAGCACTTCCCACAGGCTTTATTTGACCGCTTTTCTCATTAAAGAGAGTTAATTGCATTCACATAACAGAATTCTTTCTGTATTATGTTGACTTTGTTTTTATGTTTTTTTTTGTTTTGTTTTGTTTTCCATTTTTCACTGCCCAACAGGAACAGGGAATACAGTAGTAATTATGGTTGGCTATCCAAAAGGAATAGAGATTTTGGAACCAGTTCGAAGAGGAATTCCAGTAAAAATGACCATTGGTGTTGGGACGCGACATGTGCAGGAGTTCATCAGTGGACAGTCGGTTGTGTTTGTAGCCATTGCCTTCATCACCATGATGATTATATCACTAGCTTGGCTCATATTTTACTACATACAACGTTTTCTGTATACTGGGTCACAATTTGGAAACCAGGTAATTTCATATTTGAAATTAGTATTTTTAATATTATTTCTGTGAAATGTTTAGAAAGGTGTTTCCTTTGTCTAGCTCTGCTACTCTGTTTGCATTTTCCTGTTTCTCTCCCATCCATGAATGCTTCTTACACTAATAAGCAGCATGTCAATGTGGCATCTCATGTCTTCTTAGCTTTAATTATTAATCTTTTTCTGAAATAATCTGCTCCTACCAGAATACTTTACAATTGCCCTATTACTTAAGTCAGTGTTGAATAATTTAAAACATAGAAGTCTCTTACAGACTTTTTACTTGCTGGTTTAGATGGAGGAACTCTCTTCTTTTCAGTTAAAACTTAGAGGAGGAAGGGAACAATCATTTTCAGCCAGAGAACATCAATAAATAAAGTTTTAAAGAGAAGCCTTGCCCAGCTACTGGAGATCTTAAGTAATTTAGGTCTAAAATGGTTAGTGTCAGAGCTTTACAAAAGCTGATTCTGGACTAGTGTAACGTACTACCAGTTGATCAGGGTGAACTGCAAAGTAGAAATGGATCGTAGAGCGGATGCCTGCTGAAGTATACCAAATTATTTGGGACGTGGAGACTTGGGCACTTGAGAGAATGAAGAAGTAGCCATTTTCTCCATCCAGTTGTTCCTGTGTCTAGTTCCTCTTCCACTTCTCAGTTGAAGAGTATAATTTGCCATTTTTTCTGACAAATGGGTTTTGTTCCAACAGGCAAGAGGTCACAAAGAGCAGTGGCTTGATATATCCTTTAGAAAAGAATTTCCCACATCCTTTAGATGACCATTGAGGATACATGGAGCCATCAACAGCTCCAGGAGTACATCTTATTTACTTTATTTTGATCCTAAAAAACTGATAGAAAATTAACTTATGAACCCAATTCCATAATCTTTTTGTACCAGTGAAAATAAAAAGAGGAGAGCATAGTGAATTGTGTGACTGTTTCTTAGCCATTTGATTGGATATTAAATAAGTGAAATTAAGAGCCATTAGTCTGTTACAGGGGAGGCCAATCTGTGGCATGTGACCCACAGGTGGCACAGAGTGTCTATGTGGCATACAGCAGATTGGAGAGGGGATAGGCAGCACAGTGGCAGACGGCAGAAAGCAGAACAGAAGATTGGGCAGGAAGCAAAAGGCAGATCAACATATGGACAGAGGAAGAGATTAGGAGCATCACTCAGAAAATGCAGTGCTCATTTGTGGAAGGCCTGTCATTGGCCCCTACTGGTTTATTAGAATGTGTAGTAATGGGAATTGGGAGCTGCTGAGCGTGGAATATCATTGTATGACTGACGTGCATGGCCTAGGAGTAGGGGAGTCATGTAACTTATGTTCATAATAATTTTCTGTGATTTTTGTTTCACAATTTTAAAAGACATTATAAAGAGAAGAATTTTATGGATTGTTTCAACTATAAAGGTACAGATTACTTACTGACAACAAAAATATTTCCATTAATTTTTGTAATGTTTTCTGCCCAATTCTGGAATGAAGCTTGGGAAGGAAACTTTTGCTATCAGATGTGCATATGGCTTGGTAGATTGTAGGTGCACACTTAATGTTTTAGAAGCAAGGAGGCAGGACACAACAATTGAATACAGTATGAAGAAGCTACTTTAAATGCATGTAATGAGATGCCCCAAGACGAAGCATTTAGAAAATGGCATAATGTCATGTGCAGAAAATGATTAAGGCTCATATCCATTTGCATACAGAGTAGCTCTCAGTTGTATAAGTACATGCTGCAGGATTGGGCCTAAAACTAACCTGAAACTATCATGTTGGAATATACACCATACTTCTGAGTGCCCCCATTCAGTCAAAGAAAAAGAAAACATTGAATATGGTAGTGTTTTTAGTTGTGTAATTTTTATATGCTGTATGCTTACTTAAGCTAGAAATAGCACATGGTCTCATGACCCAAAACTTCTCACAATGCTTCCTTGTTACCTTAAACTAATGTTTCTCATTAGATTGAGTGATTTTAGTTCGGTTATGCTTCTTCTTGGTCAAAGTTGGTTACCTATTTAGATTTACCCGTGCAGATGTTGCCTGTGTTCAAAATTGTTTTCCTTCAACCTTATCTCTGCACAGATATGCACTTGACAGCACCCAGTTGCTCTGGAAACTACTAAGGTGCATTGTATTGATAAATGATCATGCATTTACTTCAGTGATTGCTAGGTTCTGGAATTTTGCTTCCTTTTAGGCCCCTGGCAGACAAAGGCACAATGGGATCTGATACAGGATCCCCAGTCTCACTTGCTGCTATGCCACACGTGTGTGGCAGGAGGCATGATTGGGGGGATCCTGCATCAGATTGCATCATGATTCTGGGCTCCCCCTGCACTAGCAATAATAGGCTCCCACATCTGGGAGCCCCAGCCTGGCCACACATTCAGTTAGCGGTATGGAACGAGCCGACCACAAAATTATTACACACTTTTTGTGTAATAACTGCAGCTTATGCCTTATTTTATCACACCATTAGTTGCATTAATGTGTGGCTGGGTAACATGGTGTGGTTAACTGGCTAAGCAGGTCTTAAGTGTAATGTGTGCCAGGGGCCTTAATGGTTGGTGGTGGTTGCAAATGCTTCATTTATTTAAAATGGTATAAAAAATTGAAAATTTTCTAAAATGTTTGGGACATTTAGTAAATTATACTGAATATCCTACAGGGGTTTGATGATAGCATTTCACTTGAGTGATAAGGTAGCTTGGAGTAATAATTAAAAAAAATGCTTTTTTAAGGGCTACAGAAAGGAAACCAAGAAAGTGATCAGCCAGCTTCAGCTGCATACTGTTAAACGTGGAGACAAGGTAATTTGATTTTATTTCTATACTGATGAAATGTTCTTTATAAGGTTGTCTGTTTTTTTTTGGTTAAGCATTCTAAAACTAACTTTTATAGGGCTATCTATAAAACATAGCACACGACTGTTTTATTTTTTTGGTCTTGTTTTCTTAGCAAGACAAAGTTTTTGTTTGTTTGTTTGTTTTTGTTTTTAAACAAATCTTCAAATACTCTAAAGAAAAGACAGATTTGTTAAATACAGAGAAGAGTTTACTTGTGTAAGAGTATATAAAAACAAATAAGAGGGTCTCAATCAAGAAATAGTTTACTTCATAAAAGCTCTGTACAAATATGGTCAGCAGACAAAAAATACTTTTAAAAATCCAAACTGATTCCAAATAAACCTATTGGAAATTACAGCAACTTGTTTTGAAGTCTAATTTTACTTTATCTGTCAATTTAATTCAGAGTCAACTACATTTGAGTAAATACAGTATTATTTTAATTAGACTCTACACGTGGAAAATTATAGCAAGGGTAAGAAGGATGGAGAAGGGCAGGCAGGGGAGCAGAAAGGCAAGATATAGAGGATGCTCGGGAAGGTGGAGGTAGCAAGCAGGTAGTAGCTGAAGCTATAGCTGGACCCCTGGTACGTGCCGAAACCCTCCTGTGCCCCCCCAGATGAGCTGCAGTTTTGTCCCGCACTCCTGTGCCCTGGTTGGGCAGTGCTTGCACCAGCCCCAATCCCTCTGTTGCGGGGGCATTGATCTGCCCCTCCCCTTCCCTTCTCTCTCCCCTTCCACCACAACAGACTTAGCAGCTGGATGCAGTTGTATCAAGCGTCGGAAAGGAACCAATGGCCCATTTATAACATTGTTCCTATGGGAAAATCAGTTCCGAGTTATAACATTTCGACTTACAATTGGTTCCTGAGAACCATGTCTTATCGTTAAGTCTGTGGACTGCCTGTACTAAATAAACTTTTGATAGCCATGTGCAGAGTATTTGTTTTTAGTTTATTCAGCTTGCTCAGTTGATGAACTAGTTTTCTTCAGAGTTGAGAAAGTTGGGGTTTGAAGTGCGCTCGCTCACTCGTGCGCGCTCATGCTCTTGGTCTTTCTCTTCCTCCCCACCCCATCTATGAATATAAAAAGGGTGAGAGGGGAAGATGTCTTTTTCTTAAAATTTTATAGTAAAAAATATGGTACATTAAAAATAATTTAAATTATAATTTTAATATTAATTCTAGTTTCCACTCAAACTCAGGTTAGCATAAGACAGTAACAAAAAAATAATCCAGAGCAAATGAGAAATTAATCAGATTTACTGTAAAAGCAACATTTTGTTGGAAATCAACATATTTTGTTGCTAAAATACCTTTAGAAGCTTGTGGTATAAATGCAAACCATGATACAAGTTGAGATACAGATTAAATTAAATTAAAGTTTCCTGCATGCTGATCCAAATTGCTGCACTCTGAATGTGACAGACTCCTGCTAGTCTTGACAAGCCCTTGCTAGGCTTGTGCTTTTTCTATATTCCTTAGGGACTCCAATTATGTGAGTGCAAGTAGATCATTTGCAAAGATAGGGCTGCTTTTACACTGGTAGTTTTATTCAAGTGTACCTTCATGAAATTTATCCCAAAATAGTGTCTTATAGCCTAGAGCAGTGGTTTTCAACCATTTTGGATTTGCAGACCCTTAAAAAATTTTGAATGGAGGCACGGACCCCTGCGCATTTTAAGTGTGGGTATTCACATACTTTTAATTGTGGTCATCTTTCACAGACCCCTTAGACCTGAAAGATCCAAGGGTCTGTAGACCACAGCGTGAAAATCACTGGCCTAGACAAATGTACATTTTGTTTCACTTTTGATCTAGTCTGGCTTTTATTATTTAAAAAAATGAAGGGGTTTTTTATTGAATAGCAAGGTAGAAGCATTCAAAGTTAAAGCATTTCAAGTAAAAATAGGTCACACTTAAAAAGTGTATTTACTGTTGTGAATCTTTCCTGATCAGCGTAAGGGATAATTGCAAAATGGACATGTTTGCTCATCTGCTACATACCGTAAACTTGAAATCCTTCCTTTCATAGTAAAAAATATTTGTGATAGCAAATACATGTTCATATACCTGCACGTATAAAGATCGGCAACTTTTATCTAGAAATGGACACACAATTATTTTCTATAAGAGATAAATTGCTGATCCGACTTCTGTAGCCTGCCCCTGATTACTAATGCAAGTGAGCATTGCAGCAATGATACTCTTGAGTTCCCAAACCCAGCAATAATACCCAGAGTTCCCAAACTCTGACAAATTGTGCACCACCAATTTAAAACAATACAACCTTAAGTACCACTGGCAAATTTTTCAGTTCAACCTTGTGTACCACCAGCAAATTTTTGTCATATAAAGTAATTATAATAAATCTGTTAATGCGTACCATTGACAGGTTGTCTGCATACCACTGGTGGTATCCGTACCATAGACTGGGAACCGCTGTTTCACATTCTGCAAACATGAAAGACAACTTTATATTGTGGAGTTTTTTAATGCTAAATCTCTGCTCTTCTAGTATCTATCATATACTGTAGTTATTTGCATACCTCAGGCACCTTCCCTTCCATATCAGTTCTCCAAAATTAGAGTGCCATGTCTTAAATGGAGAGTCAGGTGATCTTTCCTTCACTGGAATAGAAGCAGGGAAGAAAAGAAGCAAGCAGATGTGTTAAAATGGCTACCACTTCTCCCTGGGGCAGTTAGCAGCAGGAATGGAATCCAGTGATTAAACCCTGTCACAGTTGCCAGTGGAGCAGTACCTTTCGGCTGAAGAGCTCTTGTGCTGGCTGCGGGTGAGTGAGCTGCTGTATAACTGGCTGTGAGCACAGTTAACTGGCTGTCTGTTCACTTCCTCTTCCTGTTGCCCCCAAAGTCTCTGGGATTTGCAGTCCAGAATTACAACAGCAGAACTCTGCAGGGTTGCTCATCACTTCCTCTTCCTGCTTCCAGGTGCCTCTGGGATTTGTAGTCCACAATCACAGCCAGCAGTAAGTTTGAACAGGGGAAGGGAGGTTTAACCCCACCCCTTCATGGCCCCAGGGCGCCAAACTCCTCCCTCCCTATAGACTGGGATGCATCCCAGCTGGGCTTGTCCCTCCATCAGCCAGCCCTCACTGTTTCACCACCCTCCGATGTTCTGCCTTCTAACCCCCCCCCCCCCCAAGTGCATGTCTTATTTGTGAGAAAATAATGGCATTTGCTTTTATATGTAGCCCAGTTAAAAATTAATTTTATTATTGGCCATGTTAAATATGTTAATGTATATGGCTGCAAAATAAATGCAAAGGGAGATTTAGAGTGAAAAAGCAGTAAGACGTGTTGGGACACACAAACTTGAGGAAAGTCTGTTGCATAAATAACAGCATACTGTACTGATTGCATCTTTTTATATGAATTTTGGGGGTGGAAGGGATAATTCTTCTCTTCAGTCTCTGTCTCCTTCCTCCCCCAGTTTTCTTTGCATAGTTGGTTTGTCAGGGAAAATGACTGGGGAGGATGGGGAAAGGGAAGAGAAGCAAGAGGGTGCCATGTTCAACTCTGAGAGAAGTCTTTTCTTGTTTGAAAGCTCATTATTACTTGAGAACATGGATTAGGTGTTGTATGTATGACTAGTATACTAGTTTTTATTTGTAATCATAGCTTGGTTGCAGCCTGTTACAAATGTTAGCATTCAGAGAATTAAACGAGCTACCAAAAATGTTCAAGTTGACTTAAGTGGGTATAGAACTAAATATATGAAAATTTAGCCACAGTCAGAAGCTTTGGCTTCAGTTTTCTCAAACCTTCTAATTATAATTTTTCTTTGATTTTGAATGACAGGAAACTGCTTTCTTGTGATACTTTAAATCAGGGCTGTCTTGTAAGCAGCTGGGGGCCAAATGCCCTGCTGGGCAGATTAGTGGATGCTGTACACCCACAGCCTGCACCAGAGTGAACACCTCTACAGCACCATGCAGGTGCAGGCCCCCCTCCCCCCTTGCACTGTGCACCTTCTGTCCCCTCCCATCCCCTACACCACACAGGAGTCCCCCACAGCTGCTTTACCACATCCACCTGCAGCTCCAGGTTCACCCTCAGCTCCCCCAGCCTGGAGAGGGGGTAGGCAGCAAAAGCTAGAGGAAAGAAGGGAAGCATGAAGACTCTGGCTGCTCTCACAGCCAGAGCAGTGGGCAGGCAGGAACTGGGGGCTACAACTTAACCTCTTTTAGGCTGCATGCAGCCTGTAGGCCAGCAGTTGGAAGACCCCACTTTAAAACATTTTCTGCATTATGCATTATGTAAAGTTATGTGCGATTCATATTTGTTGCAATCAGGATATGATTTTGAACACCGTCTTATAGCTGTTCATTTAAATATGGTGTTTTTCTTCAGGGTTTAGATGTTGATGCAGAAAATTGTGCTGTGTGCATTGAAAACTATAAACCAAAAGATACTGTCCGAATTCTACCATGCAAGTAAGTGTATTTTCTTTTTCTTTTACCATATTTTTCCTGAGAAACATTACTGACATTGTCACAGGGTCATACAAGGCACTGAAACTGTGCCATCTGTTTGGCCTGTTATGTGTAAAAGGCATGAATAAATGGTATTTCTTTCACATGTATGGTGTGAAATGCAAACTCTCATTTGCATATACATGTGCAAATTAGTTTAATTACTGCTAGTTGTCAGTATTCTTTCTAGTGAGATCATATTTGGTTTCAGGATGGATCTGGACTGCTTTCAGTGGTGACAGATGACAAAACAAGGGGCAATAGTCTCAAGCTGCAGCAGGGGAAGTTAAGGTTGGATATTAGGAAAAACTTTCTCACTAGGAGGGTGGAGAAGCACTAGAACAGGTTACCCAAAGAGGTGGTGGAATAGCTGTCCTTGGCGGTTTTTAAGGCCAGACTTGAGAGAGCTCTGGCTGGAATGATCTAGCTGGGGATGGTACCGCTTTGAGCAGGGGGTTGGACTAGATGACCTCCTGAGAGATCCCTTCCAACCCTCATTTTCTCTGATTCAGAAGGATTTTTGTAAGACCAGAGATGTATAAACAGAACAAGTACAAATAATACTTTTGAGAGAATAGTAGTAAATGTAAAGAAAGATTTGGAATGAAAAAGCAGTAAGACATGTTGGACTGAACTTGCCGAAAGTTTGTTGCGTAAGTAACGGCATACTGTAAAGCATCTTCTTGGTATGAGTTTTGATTTTTGGGGTGGAAGGGAGCATTCTTTTCTTCAGTCTTCTCCTACCCTGTCCCACCCTTCTTCCCTGTCTGGCTCCCCTCCTCCCAATTTTCTTTACCTATGGTTTGTTAGGGAAAACAATTGGGGAAGGTGGGGGAAAAGGGAGAGAAGCAAGAGTGTCACGTTCAAACCTGAGAGAAGTCTCCCCTTGTTTGAAAGTTCATTATTCCTTGAGAACATGCATTAGGTGTTATATGCATGAACCTTAAATTTTTGGGGTTAAATCTTCTGCAGATATTTTTTTTTAATTTAAAATACAGTCTTAGCTTGGTTGCATCCTATTAAAAATGTTAGTGTTCAGAGAATTAAACTAGCTACCAAAAATGGTACACAAGAATATAATCAATTAAAGCTTCAACATCAGTTGGGGCTTTAATATGAAATATATAAAACAGTGCTTTCCTATTTGTATTGTTTTTAAATGATAATTTTTCCCCTGAAATGAGTAACCAGATATCATTTTGACAGTGAGCAAAGTGAAATACTGGGCCTTAATAAGAACATTTAAAGATATACAAGTATAGGCAAAATATATTTTAAATATTTTGCTTACACTACTTCCCTTGAGCATGTTTCAGAACAATGCTGCTCCTGCTCCACATCCATGAGATTTGGAAATGAGAGGGTGAAGCCACTCTAGAGGTGTCCTTCGAACCACTTCCAAGATCTGTTTCCTCAAATAGTTTTACCACCTCCCTTCTGGATTTGATTCCTTTGGAATGAGAGCAGGTCAGCCTAGGTTATGCTCAACAGCAGTGTCCTTAGAAGGGTTGAGCAAATGGTATAGATATTCCCCCTGAACAATTGACAAGACAGACCTTACTAGTAGTATTTTATAGCTGCTTTTTAAAACTGACACTGCTTTATCTGTGGAATCACTTAAGAGTGAGGACTGATTCTTTTTATTTATTTAAAAAAGGACCAGTCTATCTTTTGTCTGGTCTATGTTATGTATGCTTGACTTTTTTTCCCATTTGCTCTTTTTACCTTGGCAATTAAAAAAACCAAAAAACTGGTTTACCCATTAATTTACATAACCTCCTACTTGGAATACTACAAATTTAAAAGGGTTTATGAAGAAATAGTTGTGATTTAAAAAATATTGTGTTCTAAAGATGCTTTCTTTTCTTCAGGCATATTTTTCATAGGATATGCATTGACCCGTGGCTGGTGGACCACAGAACTTGTCCAATGTGCAAGCTAGATGTCATCAAAGCTCTGGGATACTGGGTATGTTATACATTTACTTAAGTGCGTATATACTACCAGTGGCCAAAGCAGAAAGCAAGACAGACTGTACATCTGCCTTTTAACTGAGAACAGGTGTTCTTTAATATACAGGAGATTACCAGAAAACTTGGGGCTCAGATGCTACAATCGTGAGTGTGGGAACCAGAACAGTAGAATAAATTTATTTGCATTAAAATAGGCGGTCTTAATATTACATTTAAAATACAAGTTTATCCTCACAATACCCTGGGGTTAAAAAAAAACCAAAAAGCTTGATTATCCCTTTCCTGGCCAGAGCAGGGGGGCTGGACCTGATGATCTCGCAAGGTCCCTTCCAGCCCTAAACTTCTGTGAACCCCGATTTGTAAAATATGGAAAAAATTTGAGGGACAAGAATGTGACTTGCTGGAGGCCGCACAGTTATAACTGTTCTATACTTCAGCAGACATGGGCATTTAGTACCCTTACTCTGACTACGGAACTTCTCAGAAGGTTAGGGAATTAACCATAGTGCCTAAAATAAGTTAGCTGACTTCTTGCATGTTCTCCAGCATGCTGAATTTTATCCTTGCGACTGAATCAGCATCAGAATTTTCCTGAAGAAGATTGCCAGTAGTTGGTTGAAATAGAAATGAAACCTCATCATTTTCTCTTGCTGATAGTATCTGCAAAGAGAAATGATATGTAGAAAGTTTGTTTAATTGGTAAGAACTGGTTCTGAGAGAGCTGTACTTTCAGTTCTAGAAAGGTCATGGTCATCAACGTATCACTTCTCTCTGAGGTCACAAGAAAACTGTAGCACTTCTTATTATAACATACAACTTAACTTGTTTTTTGGGATTTTCATTTCATGAACTAGTTTTGTATTTTAAGTAGCTCTTCTCTTAAATAAATGTAAAAAAGTGGAATGGTTGAAGTTATGCTAAATGGCTATTTTTAATTCAGAACTGAGACTTTAATTATTCTGGGTACTGTATCTGACAACTGTAAAATCAAAACATATTGGGGTGGTTTATTCCACATGATCTAGAAGTTACGTTAGTGCAGAGATGATTTTAAGACACTAATAAACTAGTCAAATTCTAGGTTCCATAACCTTTTCCTTTCCATAAATCAGTAATAGGTTCCAGCGAACAGTGGAGAACGTACTTGATCTGGAAACTTTTTCGTGACTGTCATCAGAATTGGCAGTTTCTTCTTTAAATTGAGGTTTAGGAGTGATAGATACCACAGCCAAACTGGAAATTTGATTAGACTTGTCTCCTGCTCACTTGACAAAAGGTGAAAAAGGAAGCCCGTTAATAAACTGGGATTTGGGAGTTTAAAAAGTGGTTTACACACCAAGAACACTAATTCAACACCAGTTTAGTTTGGTAATGTGGAAAATTATCAGATAGCTAAATAGTAGCATTTGTGAAATAGGGTATTTTGTCTAGTTTTAAGTGGATGAGCAGCATCCTTGTTAGAAAATCCTTATCTCGGTGTGCAGTTTTTGCATTGGTCAAACTTTGAATGACCATTTAGGAAAATGCTTGGACCCCTAAAACAAAACAAAATACCGCCCCCCCCCGCCCCCCCCAAACAAAACCTTTAACAGGCCATTGCCTGTTCTTCAGCTATAAGCCAAGGATGTCAGTACTGAAACTGCTGCTTCAACACTAAATCCCCTTTGTGAAATAGGGAACCACTATTTTACAGTATACCTATTCTGTACCCTTAATGTAGCTTGTATTTCTATATACAAACAATAAAATGTTACATATTCCTTTTTTGAATAACAGATCAATTTTAAAAGCAGAACTCTCAAAGTTTTTATTCTCATTTGCATTGTTGGTAGTGGTGCAAATAGTTAATGTTACCGAATGCTTCCTACTAGAAGATCCTTTTTTCAGCTGCTTAAACTTTTTGCCAAAAGTTAACTGGAAAACTTTTGACCCAGATGTCTGTCTTGAACCAGCCTTCAGTGGATTCAATATGTAAAGGTCTCCCAAAGACGGACACTGTTTTTACTTTGCCAGGTCATAGTAAACTTGATTTTTTTTTTCTGATGGCTAAGCAGTTTTTCCTGGTTGGCTTTTGTTTACCTACTTTATTATGAAGGGTGACCCTGAAGATGCATTTGAAGTTCCAATACCTGAATCAATAAGTGGCAGTGTTTCCCTTGGAAGTTTGAGCATTGCTTTGCAAGAAGATGGCCGAAATGAAGTAAGCGATTTGTCAGCCTCATCCACTAATGAATCTGTGTTACAATGTAACAGTTTAAAAGAGGATGCAGGTGAAACCACAGCATTACTTGGTGAGTAGTAATATAGTACGTTATCATTTGGATAATCAACTGGACACTGAGCAAAGTCTTTTTCTGCTTTAGTTGAAACCTATCATTTTTTGGTGCTGACTTGATGAATCATGAGTTCTTGCTACTTTGGCTTAAATTATTCTTTGAAGAAGTTCAGTTTTCCAAGGCTATGATGATTTAGCCAGACTCTCCCAGATGATTGTAACTTCCTCAGCTTCCAAACCTCTGAAGTAGCAGTCTGATAGGAAACTTCATTCCTTTTGGGAGCTTTGAGTATGATTTAGGGAAAGGCTGGAGGTTGTATTTCCTTTCTTGTAGGTGTGTGGTCTACATGGTTTCAACTTTACCATATGTCAATTGGGGATAGATAAGAGTGCAATACTGGAGAGCAGACTCGTGGTTTTGAGAGTTCCTTCTATCATCTGTGGTTGTCATGGTAAGTTTTAAGGAAATAACTATTTCTGGAGTGCACCAGGAATTTGGGATTTATTCCTTGTCTTTGCCTGCTAAGGCTGTGCAAAGCCCTGCACTCGCTGGCTGCAGCAGGGGCTGTTGGGCTTCCTGGCAG